GCTTAAGCTGCATAATTATCTAAGTTTCATTCCATTTAAAGGTGCAATGTGTAATTTTTTAGGTGACATCTAGTGGTTCGGTTGTGAGTTTGCACTAAAGGCTCGGCCCACCGCTCACCCCTCTCTTTGGCTAAAACGAGACAAAAATATCATCGTCTGAGACAGCTGAGAATAGCAAGAGTAAGACAAGAGTGTGTAATATTGTCACATCTGTTATAAACCACATCATCGATAAAGTTTACAAAGCCATAGTCAGGTGAGGATCAAGGGTCTTAATATATAATATAATAATAGTAATCAGCTGATTGTCTCGAGCACACGGCAAAAATTACATGATTGTAACAGCGTGCGCCTCCACATCCCCTAGACACCATTTACTACACATAATAAGCTTTTTTTTTTTAAATTTTGAAGACTATTTGCAATCGACTTAAAATGCTTCCAGGATCGACTTGTCGTCCGCGATTGGCGGGTTGGTGAATCCTGTAACGTTACTGTTTTACGGACAATGACAAGAGTACTAATCAGCTGATTGTCTCACAAACGTAACCTGCACATTTATCCTCACATAGCAAAGCCGTAACACAGCGAGGGAGAAGAACTAAGTTACATGAAAGTTATATTTTACACCACTGACAGGGGAAAAGTCACTACTTACTATGTTTATGGCTATAGCTTCTAGCTTTCTGCGGCTTCACTTTCAGGGTAGTGACGAAACGTGTTCTGTAGCGATGTTTGTTCGCTGTTGGCTACGGCACAAACATGACGTCACACAGCCCGCAAGGCGTCATCTACTGACGCTTTTGACCATGCGTCAACATCCGACGTACATGGCAACCTTTAGCGTCAATATGAGACGCGCCTCCTAGTGGTCTAACCCCAACCCTACCCCAGACCTAAACCTACCCGCGTCATCTAACTGACGCTAAAGGTTGCCATGTGCGTCGGATTTAGACGTATGGTCAAATGCATCAGATAGATGAAGCCCTAGGATGAGCGTCATCTAACTGACGCAAGAGGTTGCCATGTGCCAAGTGTCAGTTACTGTAGATGACACCCTAGGATGAGAATGCGTTGCGTCACAATATGTTCCACCTTCGTAGAAGCATAGAGAGGGGTGCCTGCGGTTATGTAGATATAAATGTCTCATTCTAAGTTAATTAAAATGTTGCGGTTTATTAAGTAAGTTCTTTATACACCACTGAAAACATAGTTATGGATGTCATATTGCATTTCTGTTAATAGATACTCAAAATTGACCACTGACCACTCCCTCAGAGTTGAACAGTTGGGTTTTACCGTTTTCCAATCCATTCAATCGATTTTCGGATATTTAGAAGAATATCTGGTCAAAATTCAAAATGACTGATTTTGTGGTGGTAATTTCCAAAAATTTGTGAAAAAATTTGCGATTTATATATAACATTTACCATAATAGTATTCAGTCCTTCCAGAAAAACGCAGAGTTTTTTTGTGATTGTTGCGGGCAAAAATTGATTGATTACGCGGTAAACTACTGGCAGCTGTGGTTGCCAGCATCATACCGTAAATTTATGCAATTTTATGCGATGAAATTGCAGGAATTTGAAAAAATTGAGGGAACTTGCAAAATTACGGGTGATGAAAAAGAGAAAAAAAGTGATTCCCCCAACACCCTGTTCTCACTAGGCTAATGTAAGAGTCATTTCTTATTACTTCCTTTGATAAGCAAGCATACTACATCATAGAAAGTGCTGGGAATATTTAATTTCTCATCTTGTTTTATTTCAGACTGTAACGAGTGTAAATAAGGTGTGGCCCCTTTAAGAGCTGCGCACTCCCTGTTGAACTCTCTGCAGTGTTATATGTGCGCCTCGAACACCCCATGTGTGTGGGTAATTTCTGTTTGATGATACTTCTTTTATCTTATGTTGTTTATTAAGTAACGATGTGACGGTAGAATGTGTGACAGACAGTTATACGAGTTCGATTTGTGAGATGTCGATCGCCTCCGTGAGTCTGTCTGGTGTCGCGTAATTGCGTCACTTCATAACGTTCCCATGGAAACAGGAGGAAATGGCTGCTCTTGTGTGAAGCAAACGCAACATTTTTCAACTTTCTGCTAAGATACATGTGACTTTTTTGCAACAAAAATGCGAGGATTATAAAATTATGCAAACCCTGCATATTTTGCACGGAAATCGGCAATTAATGCGGCGAAAGCTTTAAATCTATGCTGTGCATAATGTCTGTCCCAGATTGAACTAGAGGAATGTTAGGTTGCATAAGAGAGCAGAAGTTTGACAGAATTTGGGCGATTTTTCAGAGCTGCGCTGTGGAAACCACAATGAACCTCACAGTGCACGACAGAGATAATTTCATTCAAACGTCTTACTGCTGTTACCGTAACATGCTATTTCCTGTGCTGATTATTTAATCACATACCATATGTCTTTCATAGGCCTTGCTGAAGAAATAACCCTGAAGCGAATACAATAGAGCAGAAAATTGAATTGAATGCTGTCAGTCATTCTTTTGTCCTCTGGGATTTTAACATCTGTTAAGGCAGAAACATCAATCTAACTCTTTCACTGCTACTTGGCTAAAATTGTAGAATGTGCCTGGCAAGCCTTGAGAGAAAGAATGAGAATTTAAATAAAAAACACATCACAGCACAGGTCTGACATTCAATTTAACTTGAAATTTAGGTTTTACAAACAATATTGTAAAGTTGGCTGACTGAACATGAAATGCCAACCCGATCTCACGACCAAGTCGTACGAATTCGACGAATGATTAAAAAGTGGCTAATTCGTAACAATTCATACGACCTCACTCGTACGAATTAATACGATTTTGCTAAATCGTACATATTTTACGAATTGGCCAATTCGTATGAATTCGTACGAATGACCTACCCCTTACCCCGCCCCTAAACCTAACCATCACGTGGGTTTAGACAAATCGTTTGAATTAGTACGAGTGAGGTCGTACGAATTAGTACGAATTAGACACTTTTTAATCATGCGTCAAATTCGTACGAGTTGGTCGTGAGATAGTGTTGGAAATGCTCTTTCACTGTAGCCTGCACAAAAATTACATTTTGGTGTACTGTACGGTGATTTTGAAGTAGCATTTTGAATTATTGCAATATTTCTTCTGTGAAGTCTGTAAAGTATAAAGGTGCTGAATGCTATGCGATTTTTTTGTACTGTACTAAACTGTACTAAAGCATAAAAATACCATGGCCAGGTTTCACAGACAAGGCTTAGAGTAAGACTGGGTAGTTAAAGTCCCCGTGAAATCAAAATTGAACCTATTTACTTTGTTAGCGCATATTACTAGTCTTGTGGTGAACAATTAATCCGTGCAAGTAAAAATATATTTACATTTTTTTTTACCTTGGTAATCTTTAATCAAAATCTGAAAAGTTACTTCCGGTCTGGAACGGTTTCTTTTTCTGATGACGTAGGTTTCACAGTTTGGGTGGGGAAACGCTTAACCACTCCCCTCAAACCGTTAGTTTACTATGAGCGAGAGATGGAGAGGAGGAGCGCTAGAGTAAAACCCTGCCCTCTGTTCAATATTCCGTTTCACTTGGAAATACGTCACAGCACTGGAGAAAAATCGTTTGCGACTTCCGGTTCACGGGGACTTTAAATTCTAGTTCAATACACCCCTTGCAGGTAGTTTGTTTGACAATCGATCTGACCAATTATAATCCGCCAAATCCGCCATTTTGTTAGACAATGCAGTCAGGAGTTATGATTAAAGGAGCATTTCACCCATTTCAACATTAATCTTTATTTAAAGTGGGTCATATATGTAGTCGAAATGTAAAAGAAATTTTGAATTTGGTGCTCTCTTGACTGAGAAAAGACTTTAGGGTACATTTGTATGTAAGACAACAACTCCCACAATGCACCACATTACAACTAATCCAGAACAGCGCAAACATCAGCGAAATCACTCCTCTGTCTACAAGGCTAGTTGCCACCAGAGTTTGAAATTCATTTCACACAAAATTTCTAGTTAGCTGCACTAGTTATTTCCGCACAAAAGGTATCCTTGTCGCTTGAAAAACTTGTAGTTGAGCCACTGTAGTCACATGGAATATTTAAACATTTTCTTCAGTGACTTTCTGGGCCGTCAAGTTTCAATCCTTTAGGAGCCTATGTAGCAGTGATCCACCTCTCAAATTTAATCAAAAATATCTTAATTTGTGTTCCGAAGATGAACATAGGTCTTACGGGATTGGTACAGCATGGGGGTGAGTAGTTAATGATTTCATTTTTATTTTTGGGTGAACTATCCCTTTAAGTTAGAGAGAGAGGTGATTGCGTTATGTGATTGGCTTACGAGTTACCAATGATTTTATACTTCGGACCATTATTAGTGAATGGTAGTGTGTAGGTAGGCTAAACAAATAAAGAAGATCAATAAAAGATGTATAGATCATATTCTAGACATATAAATAGAATCAAATGAACATAACTTTAACAAAGCTAAATAAGTGCTGGATCACTACACTAACACACAAATTACTCACAAACCAGGTTTCCTGTGTCAGGTTTTAGTGTGTCATTTTGTGCTCTATTGATCACTGATACACTCTCCACTCTCCCCCAAACACTAAAGGCCAAGACAGAGAGATCAGATTCAGCCCTGCACAGGAATTAAAAGCACACTGACCGGTAGCATGTTTCTGAGGAACACCGCAGAACTGGTGTCAGATTATGTCTTTTACAATATCCCTTACTACTTTTCTTCATGCAATCTTCTTCACCATCTCCTTACATCCATGGAAAACTAGAGCTAACAGACTAACAGAGCAGATGCAGAAGCTGACCGTGTCAAAGCTTTTCCCTGAATCCTGGTAAGACAATTATGAGACGATGGTAGCCTTTAATTTGACTTTTATCTGCTGTAAAGACTTTTATTTTGATATATCTCCCCTTTGGGAAAATTATGAGTATGGGAATGGAGTAGCTTCCATCTTGCGCTTTGAATGTTTTGATTAATTGATTTGCGGTAGTCATTTTAATATTGGAACCTTTTTCGTTTCTGAAATTCTGCAGAGTTGATCATTTTCAAGCCCTTGCTTGGTTGCTTACAAACCTCACACCTGACTCCTGAATAGGGTGAAGACTTTGGGTTTGAACATGTGGACAACAGTGGTGATGAAGATCTAAGCTGACATGATGTGAAATTAAGGTAAATCTATTCTTTTGATGAATTGTTATGATTTAGTTGATAGACAGGCCTTATATGACAACTAATGCTGCAGACATTGTTCACTTTAGTGTGGCCATCACCTTTGGGGGAAAGGGGTTTAAAAGGGGATTGTCCTGAACATATCGACATTGTTGTGCATTTTAGGATAAGTTGTAGTATAAGCCTAGTGCATGTGAAATGGAGGTGGTCTTCTTTTTGATATGACTAATATGATGTGTAAATATGATGATACAATACTGGTAATGCTTCAGTTTGGCTGAAAAATTAGGAAAGGTTTTATTTAAATAGTTTTTTATTTTATTTCTTACAATTTTCATGTTTTTATACACATTTTGACTTTACATCTAACTTGTGAATGTTTCTCACAGTTTCTTATTTTAATCTTTATCTGATGATTTTTATTTTTATATTTTACTCTGAGGCTCTGATTTACTCTGATAATGCTTGGTGATTTATTTGGTCTGACTTGTGCATGTGGCAGGCATGAATAGTTGCATTCATATTCTTTCAATGTAATGAAAGCAGACAGCACACGGCAGGCTGAACGCTGAATACACTTTAAGTCAGCTGATAAGGGTCAAGACTTTTGTCCAGGCGTTTTATCTCCACAATTATTTCAAGTTCCAATACCCAGGCTACCCGTTGAGTCCAGGAAGCTTGCCCATTTTTTCCATAAAACATGTCAATGTTGCTAGCATTTTAATCACAACTCTCCACAGCTAATGCACATTGCAATACTAGTTTTGGGTCTCTTCAAAGTCTTATCAAAGTTTTTGATTGACTGAGCTAAGATATGGATATTCAGTAGCTCTTTAACTTTGTATGTGTGTGTGTGTGTGTGTCTGTTTGCATTGTTGTAAACAAATAATGATAAGTGGGCACATTTATTTTAATCTTTAATCTTTTATTTAAATCACTTCGAAACAAAAGTCTGTTTTGTTTTGCTGTGAAAAGCCTGGAGTAAAGCCCATGTAAAAATACTAATTACTTTAAATCCACTGCATGCTGGAATTTGCATGAACGTTACATAAGAGAATAACCCCAGCTGAGTAAACGAGAGCTAACAATGCCAAAAGAAACACTCAGCACGCACTGATTAATCTGGTAAACGCTACCTACTGGCAGGCAACATGTAAAAGAGCTGGACAAAGTCCTGTGGCTTTGATGCAGACTATGACGTTTTTGTATTAGATTATCCAGTTATATTTATAGTGAGTTATTCAATTTACCCACATGCCTATATATATATATTTTTTTTGTCCATGAGTTTTTATGCTGTTTTTAATGGCTCTTTTTTTTCCACCCAGCATAATGTGTTTTTCTAGTTTTAGTTACTTATATTTTCTTATTCTTTCTTTCTTCGTTCAAAAGTCAGTAAAACATTTTTTTGAAAGAAATTAATACTTTTATTCAGCCATAAAGTATTAATTTGATAAAGTGATACAAAATATATATTGTAATTTTGAAAAAAAAAATGTCTTTTTAACTTTTTATTCATCAATGAATCCTGATAAAAGTATCACAGGTTCCCCAAAAATATTAAGCACCAACAGTTTCCAACATTGATGATATATCAGCATATTAGAATGATTTCTGAAGGAACATGTGACACTGAAGACTGATGCCGAAAATTCAGCTTTGCATAACACACTCTTAGAAAAAAGGGTTCATTGGGGTTCTATTTAAGCATGGGTTCTTTACTCAACTCCAAAGAACCTTTTATGCTAAAAAAAGATTCTATAATGACAAGAAAGAAACCTTTTGGCTCAAAGGTTCTTTTATAGGCTATTCATTCATATATTACATTATTCTGCAACATTTTGTAGTTATAATTAAATTATTAAAAAGTTGTAGTAACTTAATATCACCATTTTAATCATGCTGAAATGGAAATCTTCGTGTGATATTGATTAACTTCATAAAATAATATAAATATATACATTTTCTAACCCCCATATCTTGAATTTTGTGATCATTCACATGCATTCATAAATACATTTTAGGGTCTTGTCATTCATGTAAAATATTTAATCCGGAAAGGACAAAAAAAATGATAATGAATGAACCCAAAAAGGTCTTTTCCTGGTTCCAAAGAACCCTAAAGGGTTCTTATTATTGAACCATTGAAAACGGTTCTGTATAGAACCTTTTAAGGTTCCACATTCTTAGCGGTGATAGAACCTTTTAGGGTTCTATATAGAACCTTTTCTTCTAAGAGTGCAGAAATACATTATAGTTAAAAGTATATTCAAATAGAAAACAATTATTGTAATTTGTAATCATTTTAATTGTTTTATATTTTAAAATAAATATATTTACTTTTCAGCATAATCACTCCAGTCTTCAGTGTCACATGATCCTTCAGAAGTAAATTTTCAGAATTATTTTTGATCAATTTAATTCCTTGATGAATAAAAAGTATTAATTTATTTAAAAAAAAAATATATATATATATATATATATATATATATATATATATATTTGAAATAGTAAGGTAGATCCATTTATATTGTCCAAAACTATATATGTATTTATTATTAATTATAGTTAAAATAGAAAATAGAAAACAATTATTTTAAATTGTAATCATATTTCTGTATTTTTGATCAAATAAATGCAGGCTTGTTAAGTATAAGAGACTTCTTTCAAAAACATCAACAATAGTTATGTTTCTTTTGACTGGTACTATACATTTGTGATCTACATTTTACTTTTTTATGTTTGTGTATGTCTCTTGTCTTGACCAAGGCTGAATTTATTTGATCAAAAAGAACAATTTTATATTTTAAAATACATTTATACTCATGTGACAGCAAAGCTGAATTTTCAGCATAATCACTCCAGTCCTCAGTGTCACATGATCCTTCAGAAGTAAATTTTCAGAATTATTTTTGATCAATTTAATTCCTTGATGAATAAAATCTTTGAATAGTAGATCAATATTGTCCAAAATGCATGCTATATACACATGTATTATTTATACATTTGTATTTAACTAAAAAAAAAAAAGATTTCAAGATTAGAAATTTATTTTCCTGGCCCTTTAAGTATATTAAGTCCAATGTAAAAAACTGTAAAACGGTCATAGACAGTTAGGTAATACTGTCGTCTAGTGTGAGTTCACTTTGTTGACTTCGTAAGGGTTGTGAGACCACAAGTCCAAATCAAGTGAGCAATTTGGGACAAGCCTTACTTACTATAATGCATGTCTGCAAAAATAATGCACTGAAGCCAGAAAAGAGGTCTGTTTTAGGCTTGTTCCTTGACTCACATTAGGTAATGTTGATTAACTTAGTGGCCTCATTAACTAACCCTCCAATGTCTGTAACCAATGACTCTGATGACTGTGGATCTGGTAGAATGAGACATCTCATCTCAGAGGAACTCTTAACCAATGATTTATCACCACTAATTAACGTCTGAGAGCGAGCAGATGTTTTCATTTCCATTAATGCACCTGAAATGGCACCATAACAACTACCATTTGTTGAGTGAGTGTTGAGAGAACCTTCACTGGGACAAATATGAGCCTGAGCAGACTGATAGATATAGTACTTTTTGCTCTTTCCGCACGTTTAAAACAATAGCTCATTCAACTAGTTTGGCATTTCTTCCTTACATGGTGCCAAGAAGTCAATTTTATAAAGGAAACAAACTTCTGTATTTGATAGCAGCTGCGGCCACAACACAGACGGGAGAGAGTTTTTGTTAGATTGTGAGAAGAAGTGAAAGTGATTGATGAGACCTGTACTCATGCCACCTCTCTCGCTGGCTGGTTTATTGGTGGACCGTGTTGGTTGCTGTAATCTGAAGCAGATGGCAAGTTTGTTTGAAGTCCCTGCAGATGGTCATCAGTGCTCCGCTCTTCAGCACCTGAGCCGTGAGGGATCCAGACCATCGTGCAAATGACCAAAATAACCTATTCTGAAGGATGAGTCCAAAAACCTGCGAGCACTAATCAGGTCTAGAAACCCGTCCAGTCTGTCAGCTGTGATTAAATGTTTAACCGTGCTGTATAACCAACATGTTCTGTTTAATATAATCAGGAGTGGCTATTCTAAGAGCGACATTAGCATAACAGGAAAGCTTGTCCAGACGTATGTTATTTTAGTTCTGCATTAACCTTCTTTTTTTCCCCTGGCACATTTCCATCAAAAACTCCTTTTAGTCTTGGATTTGACCTACAATATAGGTTGTTCAAAATTAACATGTCCTCATTGACAGTCTGTTCAGAGTGAGATTGAAGCCAAGGCTGCATCTGATATCGTATACTTCCCTATGTAGTCGGTGGAAAACAGTATGTGACAAAATAAGTATATCCAAATTCACAGAACTCATAAAAAACAAGGCAAAAAGAACCCGGGTGACCTACTATTTTATTTCCTGCGAAATCCTGAAGTGTGCATACAATGGACAATTTTACTATCCCATGAGGCCACAGGCAATGGTGGAGGAAGTACTGAATCTCAGTACTTAAGTAAAAGTAAAAATAACCAGATAAATATTTACTTTAGTAAAAGTAGAAATAACACAATGACAACCATACTTAAGTAAAAAGTAAAAAGTACCTGATTTTAAATGTACTTTAAGTATTAAAAGTAAAAGTACTTGCATAACAATTTAGTCTCTTAAAGGGTTAGTTCACCCAAAAATGAAAATTAAGTCATTAATTACTCACCCCCATGCTGTACCAACCCCGTAAGACCTTCGTTCGTCTTCAGAACACAAATGAAGATATTTTTGATTAAATTTGAGAGCTGTATAACTACCACATTGGCTCCTAAGGGACTGCCTCTTGACGGCCCAGAAAGTCAATGAAGAAAAATGTTTAAATATCCCAAGTGACTACCGTGGCTCAACTATATGTTTATCAAGCGACGCGAATACTTTTTGTGCGAAAAAACAAACAAAAATAACGAGTTTATTCGACTATTTCTTTTCTTCCTTGTAGGCCAGAAACGAGACTTCCTTAGATTTCC